CCACTACACCTGCTGATGTTTCCGAGAATTCGGAGCGTTGAGGATTTTTCAAGGTGTGGTACATTTACGCGTATTATCTTCTTTCGCGCCGTAAAAAATAATTGAAGTGTTTTTAATTTGGTGGAAAATTGGACTGAGTTATGTTGATCAAGGGATGAGAAAGAAAAATGAGCCACTCACCACTCTAGACTCAATGTCCAGACTCTGGTCTCTTCTCCTTTTTCCAAGCACTGGAGTGCACAGATACATTTCCATGGAACTCCCATCCTTCTCTCTTCTGAGACTATCCAAATTTCGTACAGCAACTGCTGCTGCTGCATCGTACAATTCTTGGAGTGCACGGGGCCTCGTAACAGACGCAAAGATACCCGTTATTGGCTCTCGTGACGCTTTGAAGTGCTCCTTTCTCAGTGCAAATGTGCATATGTCGGATTCCGCTGAAAAAAAAATAGAGAAACGTCAATTTAGATTATGGAGAATCGAACGAGAGGAATGAAAGCGCTTTTTATTCTTATTTCAACGTTTGTTGGGTTTCTGAGAATCAACTTTATTGTTCTCATTTCTCTTCTGATGACTGGACGCGTGTTTGTCGTCAACGTCAAAACGTGAATTGACAAAAGGCCTTTTTGTCCCCACTCAGCTATTCCGTTTCTCTTTATATTCAAATAAATAGAATTTTTTTCGGAGGGGACGTAAAAACCACTTCAAAGTAATTACCAAATTTCCCACAGCTTTTGTTTTTTCATCAGAGAAAAATAGCAGGCATTTACATTCGTCTTTATGAAGAACTTGGAAAGGGTTCGTTTCATGAATGGGGAACGATGTTTGAAAACAAAATTTGTCCCCCCAAAAGTTGGACTTTGGTATTCGTGATTTTTATTAAGGGAATCCGAGGGCCATCCACAGAGATTAACAACATCACATGTATACAGACATCTAAAAATTGCACATTCAGACTTTTTAGACCATATTTAGTTATCCTAACACAAAAAACAAGTGGGAAATTGCTCTTGTATTGAATATAGTATAGTTATTTGTGCTAATAAATTAGCAATATGCTTCCGAATGATTATTTTGCACATTATTTCTTTCTATCATGCATAATTCATTGTTTATTTCATTTTATTGAATTGAATAAGATTTCCTTTTACCCAATTTCGTCAGATTTTCAACTTTGAGTTGAATGTTATCAGCATCATTATTCTTATTATCCCGTTTCTTCTATACAACCGATTGTCTTTTTTACCGTTCTATCTCGCTCCTCCGAGTATGAAAAAAACGTATAGAAATTTTCTATACGGATTGCGTATAGAATTTCTATAGGATTTTCGTATATGGTATTCGGATATTTCTAGGGGAGGGTGGGGCAAAATGGAACGGTAATGAATTTTGGTTTTCAAAAACTATAAGATCCTCTTTTTTTTGCTTCCGAATGAAAGCTTTGTAATTGTGATTTTTTTTAGAATTGTTAATTTTGGGTGTAAAAATGACTAGGAATGTCATGAAACGTAAACAAATGATATTTTTGAAGAATATCTGTATATGTGTAGGTATGTGTAGTCATGTGTGTTCGTATGTCCAGAACTGTCCACGTAACTCGCAAATGATTAAGGGAAGGATGCTGAGACTCAAATCTGTGCTAAATTTCAGCTCGATTGATTGGGCGGTTCGTGAGATATAGCGATTCCTTGAAAATCGTTTTTTGCCGTTATCTCATAAACCATTCGACGGATTCCGTTTTTTTTCAAAATCTCGTCATGATGATACCTAGTTACCAAAAAATACCATTCCACCCCGAGCAATGTAGTTTTATTCTCGTTTTTCCATTTTTGTTTTCGAAGAGAAGCAGTGTGATGTGTCACTGACTATTGTCACTGACTTAACCTCGATTTATCATGTTTTACAAAGAAGATATCAAAATTATTATAATGACCTTTTTCATAGCCCTTGAAATTCTCTACAAAAAAGGTCTTCATCAAAATACTCCTATCTCCTTCAAATTACAAGATAACGAAAACTACAAAGTAAACTGATGTCACTGGCTTAAGCCCGAATTATCATTTCTGAGCTCACATTAGGTGAAAAAAAAATTGTCTGAATTTCGCTCTATATTCGTTTTTTCCTACCGTTCCATTTTGCCCCGCCGTTCAATTTTGCCCCACCCTCCCCTGTACGGATATTTTTTATGCAAATTATTTCTATACGATTTCTATAGGTTTGATTCTATACGATCCAGGGCCACATTTATAGAAACATTTCGTGTGGAGTTGCGACATTTCTGTACGTTTTTCTGTGGAGCGTTTAGACATCTTTCGTATGACAACAAAAATTTATGTAAAAATTTATGTATAGAAATATCCGAATATCATATACGGAAATCCTACACGGAGAAATTTTCTAGAAAAATTCTAGTACGAGTACTGGAAAAAATCACAATTCACCGTCTGTGAAAAATTCTAGTGCTGTTAAGGTAAAATTTCTTGGTATTTCTGGTAAAATTTCTGGGGACTTCTGTGAAATTTTCACAGAAATATTGGGAAAAATTCACGTTTTCCCCAATAAAATTTCCAGTGCCGGCACTGGAATTTTTTCCCGGCCGTCACTTTGCACCTCTTTTCCCGTGCTAGCACTAGAATTTTTCTAAAAAATTTCGCTCCGCGTATAGAAATTCTATACGCAATCCGTATAGAAAATTTCTACAGATTTTTTAATACGTGTCAGCCCTTCGATCAAATGTTAATAGAAGAATTTGATTTATACATACTTGAATAAATTTGAAACATCACATTTGAAGAAACCAACAAAAAACTCACTTTCAGGGAAATTCATAAAAAATTCAAAATTTTCAACAATCATCATAAAAATCTAATTAACCAATATAGCTATCGAAATCATTTTTTGATTTCAACTTGATGGCATTGAGACAAACATTTTAAGCTATAATTGAATTCATTTTAAGCATGATATTCAAAGATATCCCCGGAATTATGATTTTCAAACAATACAAAATTTTTGAAAATTTTCGAATAAATCAAAATAACGATTATTGCTATTGCCTTCATCTTCGAAATCGGTCGAAGGGACATCCAAACAAGCTTTTTAAGCCGTCATTCAATCAATTCAGAATATTTTTTTTAGTTATCGTGGGACGACCAATTTTCGAAAAAATTCAAAAATTAAAAAACTAAGCGATGACTTAAATTTCAATTAATGGCGATCAATAGGGCTCAATAATAGCTACATTTGAAAAAAAAGATTCAATTCGATCCATTCATTAGCGAACAATTGGAGAAAAACTTTACCACACACATACGCGCGAACACGGTTTAAAATAGTATATTACGCAACAAGTGCGTAATGGGTGTTTTGGCTCGTGGGAAGTTGTAAAACGAGCCGAAGGCGAGGTTTACAATCCCACGAGTTAAAAAACACCATTACGCACGAGTTTCGTATACTATTTTATGTCATAGGGCCCAGAATCCGCGATTCTACCGAGCGAAGCGAGGTTAGAATCGCGTGATTCTGGACACCTATGACATAAATTGCATTCTTGGACTTTTTGGATCATAATGGGTCAATATAACACAAAAAATCCACGACACTAATTTGAACGATTACAATGCTGCCATTCGGAAGCAATTGGAAGTTAAAATTTGAGCGATTACAAAGCTTCCATTCGGGGGCAAAAATCACTGAATCTTCCAGAATATTGTCGGCTCCTTTCCATCTTCGACCGAATGAGTTACTATATTTAATTAATTTTTCATTGTTTGGATATATCATCTATGATACATTTGATCCTGTAATTGGCGTTGCGCTGTTGGGTCTTTATAAAATAAAAAAAGGAAATGACGTGAAATGCAATATTCATTTTCTTATCACGTAATCGATTTTTGGAAACAGATGCAAATGAGTTTTTTGTGAATTTGGGAAAATAGTTCTTTGAGTATAAATTTTGGAGTTTATCCAATATTCGTAAGCAGAAGGGATATTTCCACTGAAGTTACAGGAAAATTCGTCATTGAGAAATTATATGTTCCAAAATTGGACGAGAAAATCGACGGAAACTATTTCAGCTTAATTATTCAGTGAGCATGAGGGGAATTTGAATTAATTCTTGAATTTTAGGTTAATGAAAAATTCAGCTCAATTTGGTATTGAATACCCATGTTTCGTGAAAAATTCAAGTTAATTGAATTTTCTATCTTATTTCTATCATTTCTGTCTTATTTCGATGAGAAACTAGGTAAATTCGTGTAAATTTTACATGAAACTCAAATATTCATAAGTTCTTTCTTCCCCAATGGAATTTAATGTCACTATTCTGAACATTGATAGAGCAAGTGGAGCAAAACGGATACTAGTGACTTTGTAAAAAATCTTAATAACTCATCGAATTTGGATGGAATGAGATAATTTTCTTATCCTTGGGAAGTACAATTCTTTCCCCCTCGAGATGAGCTCAGCCTGAACGCAATTACTCGATTCGTTTCTAAGGTTTGAAACCAATCGGTTAATTGAGAACAACGTTAGAAAAGAAAATGGAAATTTCATGAAAGTTTTGTAATAATTTTCAGAAGAGTGACACGATAGATTCAATCATTAACGAGTATCAAATTTGGCAATTAAATTGCATGAGACAAATATAAAAAGAAATCATAAATATTCAGCGTCATTAAAATTACATTTTGCACAGAATTATTATTATTTTAAATATTCGTTGTTTATAAATAAATTATTGAAATTGTTTGAGTTTTGGTAAACCTTATTTTTTTAAGTTTATTTATTATTTAAAGAAAATGCTCGTAATATTAAAAAATTGCAATTTTTAGATTATTTCATCAATCCGCCTCCAAAATAAACTTTCTAATTTGTTCAGGTGTTTAAAAATGTTTTCTAACAGTTCAATATTGAGATTTCAATTCAGACCTGCAAAGTTTAAATAATAAAATTATTGTAAAATTTTCGGAACCATAGGATCAAATGAGACTCAAATGAAAGCTCTAATGTTCGACTATAAAAGTAGAAAAGCAGAACAGCATTTCACTGGAGAAAAAATATAGCCGAAGTACTTGGATATGCGTAAGGAGGAAAATCATGGAAATCCAAATTTTCTTCAAAATTTAATAGAATTTCAAATGTTATATTGAAAGGGAACATGAGAATTTCTCAACTTAGTTCAATTTTCGATCGAAACATGTACATACCGTACCAAACACGTTTATATGGAATTTTCAATTAATTGCAATTTAAGAAATATATGTAGACGTTCGCATAAAAAGAACCCACTTTGTCGATTCTAGTTTTCAATGTGACATTTTTGTCTCCGTCACTCCCATTAATTTAGATCAATGTTAAATTATTTTTTTGATGTTCTGTAACTACGTCATTTTTCACGTTATCAGAGTAGTTTTGGGCTTAACATAGGCGGAATATT